GGGCTACAATGAGCTCTTAGAAAGTAGTTTTAACTGACTTCAACTGTATGATGGGCACTATACTAAATTTAAGCAGAATAAATTTGCGCATTTTGTTGACGGACGAGAGTATGTAGCACTTTTAGCATGCGAAACAAGTTTGGGATGAGCATTTCATATAAGATGGTGCAAAAACAGTCTCAAAACCATTAATCCGTCTGCCAAATCTGTAGCGAACGCAAAAGTTGCCGTACTCTGCAGTGAAATGCATTCAAAATTTGTATATCCTTGTAAAGACTTGCCACCATCGCTCTCTCCTAAAAGGTATCGGGTTTGGTCTTCTTATGCCCAGAGCTTTGGAAGAGTGCAGATTATTGCTTGATTGTGTCGCAAAAGTTACGGTGAATGCGGCTGTGAATTTGCTTAATTTCCACTTTCTAGACGTTGTTTGTTTAGGGTAATTTGAGCACACTCAGTTAGTCTGCTTTAATAGATTTTAGTGCTATATACTCACCAGTAGTTCCAGTTCTATCATCTACTATTTTGCCCTCGATAACGGCTCAGTCATTCCAGGTGCTCTGAAATCACTTCATACCATTTTCAGGACACCTTGTTGTATGTTCTAACTTTTGACTAAAATCTTATTCAGTGTGTCAAGTAAAACCGCTTCAACTTTTCCTGTTTTTCCATTTTCTTTCACACTCAGCTATCTTTCCGCATTTTCATCTCCCTGCAGTAGCCGGCCTTTAATGGCGAATCTGCGGGATTTGTTTTTCTGGTAGCACCTTTAAATCTTTACCACAAGTAGAAAAAAACTGAGAGGTTAATGTATTTTCTCAAATAATCAAATAAACAACAACAATAATAATAAAAAAAATTCGTTTTTGGTGCATCATTTGCCAGTCAAATGCAGCACTCTTTTGTGGGTGAGTGAAAATAAAATAAAAACGCAGAATCGGGAAGGACCGGACACAAGTTACCAACAGTTCTCTACCCCTAAAGCGAAAGGGGACGAAACTTTCGCCCGATTCATTTAAGGGATAACTGAGAATCAAAACCATTTGCACAGAAAATGGATATCCAGATCGGGTTGTACAACAGTACACTGTCATCACAGAAATTCAGCCAGAGGTCGCTGGCAACAACTGGTTCACATCCTTCAAAAGCGACGCAGTATCTGAAATAATAAGTAAGTGTCTACAGGCTTCAGCCAAAAGCAGGTGTTAGGCCGCTGGTCTTCGAAACAAGTTTTCTCATTGCAGATAAAAAACAAACCACCGGTTGAAATGACCACATTCTGCATTTTCCAATTTGATCCCGTGGAACCTCTTACACCAGTCACAAACCCAACGTTTGGCTGAACGCATTAAAAACATCTCAGTTGGCACTGACGAGAACTGAGGGGAATAGTAATCACGTCTCGCTTGGTCGAAACGGAACATCGTGTCAGAATAAGTTAAGACTTATCTACACGATCACCGGAATGCGATCAAAGCAGGTCAGTCATCACTTACAGTCAACCCCGTAAGCAATCCCCATGTGGTTGAACAACCCCCCTCCGATCCAATGTGCGTTTAAAAACAGCCAGTCGGAGGTCTGCATTTACCATAGACAGTCCTAAACACCGGTGGCATGTTACAAAAAGAACGTCAAATAGTTTATTCCATTGATTCATTCGCCAATACATATGGCATTCACAGAAAGGCTTCAATGCCCTTGCGTGTCCCACAATATTATCCATACACACAGACATGACCTACTATTTTTCTGTCAAACAACTTATCTCCGGTTAGTAAGATTTAAAACACTGATTCTGATCACGGCATACCATATATGACCCGAATAGGCCATTCCATCGTGAATCAAACAAAGATCATCGCAAAATGTGATCTTTTGATATCCCAAAATCGAACAAAAACTATCACATTTCAAGCTGCCGTAAAGTCAGTGGAGATTCAGACAGAATGCATTGCAAATCGATAAATAACGGTCAGGCGGGATCATGAAACTCAAAAGAACATTTAAAATTACCAACTACACGCAACGGATTTACCGGCTGAAATTTCCTGCGAATGCAATGAACGTATCACAGTTGTTCGCATGTCTCAGTCAATGATTTCCCAAGAACAACGAAGTGGGTTATACAGAATCCAAAAGACTGCAAATATAAGTCGAATTTATCAAATGTTTTAAAGGTGAATTCGTCGTGTGTATAGCAAATGAAGCGTGAACTGAAAGGAAGGGAAGCACTGGACAGCTGTTTTGACCTGTTTGGGTCTCATCAGCAGTGCGAATTCATCGACCCAACTGGGGATCGCTTCATTTAAAATTGAACCAAATCCTCCATTATTCACTTATCAAACATTGTTGCATGGTACTGAATTATTTTCTACACACTTCCTTGTAACGAGCGCGTGAAAAAAATCGTGTTGCGCTCAAACGTTCAATACATCTTCAATGAATGATTTAAATGTTTACGTAAGAGCAATACGGACGTAAACACGGAGGTGGGTACTTGTGCCGTGTCAAATGCATTCTCAACTGCATTTCTCTGTCTTCGAGCAACTAATTTCGGTACTGTGTCCGATATGAAAAGAAGAGAAGAAGACTAACATCTCCTGATCAGCATTATCCATAAAACCTTGCAGATAATCGTTTTGTATGAAAACTTCCTCACTAAAACATAGCTGAACGATGCTCATGCTATTTGAGCATGTTTCATTGCCATTTTTGTTGATAGAAAAAGGGAATTTTTTTGAGTTATAAGAAAATTTCTGAAATAGAGGTATCCGCCGATCCAAATGAGCCAATACATAAGGAGGAAAACCGAGGTCGTGATATAAAATCCCATCTACTCGAAGACTGAGATTTTGTATTGAAACGAAAGGAGATAAGTATCCCCAGCGACCCCGACACATTGACGTCGCTGTGCATAAAGCACTGTATATCACTACCATATTACTTTCATAGTCTGTATTTCTCACGAGTGGGCTCATGAACGATATTCACTGGCTTGGGTTCAAAAATGATCGTGTACAGAAGACCGAGAGAAGATTCCATTTTTGCAACTTCTTTCCGACGTTACAATTCATTATTGAATAATAACTGGACATTCAGTGTCCAAAATGTAATTATTATTCCATGTTCTCTAATATAATGGTGATTTGCGTATCAACTTAGTCACAACTAGTCGATGGTCTTCAATACACGCATGCTAACAGATATCATATGTAGGCCTCCCTTTTGTCGATTTTTGGTATTTTTAGTTGCAGTTGGTCACATTTCTTCTTTTTCTCTTGAAACTCGTGAATTAACGAGAAGTTTTCTTCACCAAAAAGTAAGAATGAAATGTCAGCATCATGGTCAATAACTTCAATTAATGAAAAAATTAGACGTTCTTTAACCCATTTCATTTTATTTACGTCTAAGCCGACCGGATAGAGACACATAAATCATAAACACGATGCTCTGGTTTCTTTGTTTAGCACTTTAAAGAACATGACAAGAATAGTTCACAAGGGTGGGATCAAACAGTATCGGATTTCGCGATGAACAGGTTGATAAATCAGAGAGTTGATGTGAGAAATCTTTAAACCCTATTTCCTGATCTAGTTGCCTAGAACTTCGACTAACAATTTGTCTGACTCTATAGAAAATGTGTAAACCAATGTCTTAGGTTTGGTTTGCATTTTGCGGATGAAGTCACTTCAGTAGAAACGATACCTAAAAGACTTCACATCATATGTGATCGGTTGGCCAGTTGATGAATTACCACAAAGAGGCGCATTACGTAAGCTATGTTTTCTTTTGGTGTGTGCTTCTGATTTATTCCGGTAATGTTTCAACTGCAAGCCTAATCAAAAATATAACCCCCAGAAATATCAGATGGCGGATGCCGCACAGGCCATCTAATAGGAATTAAGGTCTTCAGCTGGATTGAAAGTCAAGGTGAAAATATAACAGAATTAACACAAGATCAGTCTACAGAACCAAAAATGGATATGAAAACGTTTTGAGTTTGTGGTGGAATGCAATTTGGTGATCAGCATAGAGCACACCTGATGTTGAAACTCACCAACCCTATGTATCTATCACACTTGAGTCGGAACTCGCACCAAGAACGATTGGGTACAGAAGGAAATCCTTTGGCGCTCGGCTACATGTCTGATGGTTAGTACCCCACTATATAAGGGATTACCGGATTCACTGGGAATGGAATCCACACCCGCAGCAATTGACATTGTCTAAAGCTGTTTTCAAATCGAATTGGCTACCGGACACATAATAAGCGATTTACTTTTACAAAACAGGATTTATCATATAAAGCTAACATTAAACGTGCGATAAGAACTGTAATTAATTAGAATGATCAACGCGTAAGAAAAACGATTTTCCGAAAACAACAAAGTAATATGAAGTTAAGTGCTCAGGTTAATGGTGTTTGATAGATATGCTCTAATATGTTGAGACCCCCAAATTACATTATCCCCCTATAGACCGGAATAGTCCAAGAACCCTTTTCAAGTGGAGGGGACGTTGCCAGAAAATCAAGGGTATTTTTCTCTACTTCCGCATACATATATCATCGGAATAGTTTGTGAAACGCATTTGCCAACTGATGCCACCTATATGGTCAGAGGTCTTTGGAGTAAAATATTTTATTACCGCGGCGATGAATTCAGATCAGTCAGTAGCAAAATTTGTGTTTTATCCGTAATTGTGCAATGTTTACCCGAATTCAGACTGAATTCTGAGTATAAATCCCGAACATATTGTGATTCACCGCCAGTGCCGATGATTTTTGACCACTGTGTCCACCAGAGCACGTTTCATTATCCTGTTTGATACCTTGTAGGAGTGTTTCCATTGATTGTTTTTGTTTACTTTCAACTGACCGTTTTACCTTGAAACGAATTCGCAAACGTTTTAATTATGACTGGGTTGTCCGAAGATTAGCTGCCATTTCGCATCAAACTAACAACAATATTTTTTGATACAGATCATCAATAAAACCCACTCACTTCGGCCACGGTGACATTCATTGCCACTTCACACAGATCCTCCGACTCCACTGCGGCCCACTGATTTCGTCTTGGTATGACTGGTGAGGTAAAAACATTCGAATCATATTCGTTCATTTTCACACCTGTCGGAGAAAATCCACTCTCAATCATGTTTGCTACTGGATTCGCGTTCCCTGGCAAGTCCCAATCATTCTCAGTCGGCAGTCCCGATGATCTTGACCCCGATGTGAAACGCATCAAATTTACTAGTTCCGGTCCCACAGGTAACACATGGGCATGCAACTGCGGAGAAAGCGGATGAATGCGAATACGGCACCCGATCATGTATACTGCGTTCGGCATAATCAGAGGATAGGGTAATGTGACTGAGTTGGTTGTACACCGAGTCGGACCACCGTTCTCCCAGCGATTCATTACAGCGACTGACTGAAATTTGATTCGGAGCAATTTGCCCGAATCCGAAGTTTGTACACGCCAGGGTAGTTTAAATGGATCGGTCAAATAAGACGGCACTGCTCCCGCGGTTGCTTGACCAAGGGGGACTTCCACGAAGGCGAGGTTTGTGAAAGACGTCATTTGTAGTTTTACGCTAATTGGGGATGAGGCGCAAGCTAACAGCAATGCAATGGGGGAGCCTGAACCAGCAAACTGACAGTCGGGTGCCGATTTCAGACCGATGCTTTTATCCGTACAGGTGGAAGTAACATGATGACTTTGGGATACCTGAGTTGATTTGTGATCCGTTTCCTCCTTCGATCTGTTCCGAAAGAGCACTCGGTAGGCTTGGGTTGGCCAGCCCTGACTACCGATGCTGAACTCCATCACTTTTGTTAGACAACCGCCGGGGAGAGTGGCAATACATTTTACTCGGCTTGAGACAGAATGGAGTCGTTTCGAGCTTGTGCTGGTCCGATAGCTGTTCTCGGGGACTTTGGTTAATTCACGTACCAAGCTTAGCTCTGCACGTACCACAATATCTGATTCGTGTGTAGGTAACGCAATACGTTGAGGTTGTCCATTACAATCGCCCGAATTACTTTGATTTGTTTCTAAATCTAAAGTAAGATACCACTGAGATTCGGCATAAAGAAACCGTTCACTTTCAAAATGCATGAATCTGCCGACTGAGACCAGGGAACCATCGAGACGCATCAAATTTATCACAGAATTGCTACGAGGCATTGATCGGTCAAAATGAGTTGAGACTGTTGGATCTGGGCATAAATCAAACCACAAATTATAAAACACATCCGGATTTTTCATTTCCAACTCAATGATACATCTTCCGTCGTCATAAATGTAACGTTTAGACGACAAGGTGGCTAGCTCGAGGAACTTTTTCCGGCCATGTCGGGGTTGTCCTCGATAAAACACACTTGCTTTGCGACCAAAACTTTCGTTTCGAGAGAAGTGTTCCCGATTTTTCAATATGAACTGGAAATCCACAGAAACTGTTGAACTCTGTATTTGCTCACTCGAATGATGCTTCGTGTGCCGACCAAGTCGATCCTCATCCGGTACAGTACTCACGGATTTCAGTTCCAAAAACACACCGAAATGTGTATCACCGCGTTGGAACCGCACAGTCCACAAATGCTCAGCATAAACAAACGGGGACGATTCGACTTCATCCAGAAGACCACACAGTAAATGAGGTAATAACAAAAATGTAAAAATCTGAGTGTTTTGTTCATCATTCATGTGCACATAGCGATACAATGGAACTTGGTTTTCTGCAGCGATTGTGGTGGTCACGCTTTCTCTCGGACAAACGGTTTCCATAACACCTCTGTCTGAACTGGGATAGTATCTTCGTTCCGAGCGCATCGCAGCAGCTGTTCGTATCATTTAAGGTTGTGTATAAACTGAACAAATACCCAATAGATTTCAGTCGGTGAGCTGTTCTGCGGTTTGTGGCAACTCTCTGCCTCACATCTTCCCCAAAAGCCAACGTTCAAGTAAAACCTGGTCAAAGTGAGTAAACACGAGTGCAATTTGAATGTGATTGGCTCAGTCGAACAGCGTTCTGATTGGACGACCGATTGGAGCATCCGATTACATTGAGATAGGAGAAATTTGATCAAATACAATTATGTTCCGAATGAGTTATATTTACTGTGTAAGCGTCGCCTCTAGAACATCGTTTGTTGAAACAGAGAAAAGAAAGAACAATTGCGAAAGTGCATGCGAATAAAAATTCATTGCGATGAATCAGTTTTTGTCATTTACAACCGTAGTTAATCTAATAAGTAGATCTGAATTGCAATTAGCAATGAATTACTCAATCATATGTATAGAACTTCCCTACTTTTTTCAACGAAATCAGCAAACGTTTCATCTTCCAGAGAATTTTATCAAAAACGTAGTGAAGGTTTGTGAACAATATGTCCTGTTTAACATGCTGAAGTCCCCGTGAATATATTCCGCTCGTTTGGACGTCGTGTCTTCCAAGTGGAAAAATAATTACTTTTTGACAACTAAAATTAATTTGATCTAGGTGAAGATAAAACAAACTCGGCTATTGCTATGTTGATTTTCAAGAGACTTTCAGTGATCACTGAAGTTTTGACTACGGCATATTAGTCTCGTGCGATTGTGAAACAGGTAATTCTATCAAATCAACCTCAAGGATTTCACCA